TTCAGGTTATGGTTCTGATCAGGTTCTGGTTCTGATCAGGTTCTGGTTCAGGTTCTGGTTCTGATCAGGTTCAGGTTCTGATCTGGTTCTGGTTCTGATTCTGATCAGGATCAGGTTCTGGTTCTGATCTAGTTCTGATCAGGTTCAGGTTCAGGTTCTGGTTCTGATCAGGATCAGGTTCAGGTTCAGGTTCTGATCAGGTTCTGGTTCAGGTTCTGTTGGACCAGGACTCACGCGGCAGGCTGGTGGACACGTGGACCTGAGTGTAGAAGCTCTTGCTGGGCAGCAGGTCCGACACGCCGTTCAGGGCCTCCACGCTGAAGGTGTAGTTGGTGTTGGGCAGCAGGTTGACCACCGTCACCGTGCGCTCCGTCAGCCCCACCTGCTGCGGCACGAAGCCCACGCCCGGCCCGCACGGCTCGCAGCGGGCCGGGCCGCAGCGCCGGCAGCCCACGCTGTAGGTCAGGTCCACGCGGCCCCCGGAGTCCGAGGGCGGGTCCCAGTCCAGGACCAGGGAGGACTGCCGCAGGGAGAAGCGCAGGCTCCTGGGCGGGGAGGGCGGCCCTGCGGGGTCAGACCGGGTCAGGGAGACCAGCATGAAAACATGAACTATGACTGGATGAAACACAACATGGAGCCAAACAGCCTCAGTGCTGTCAATCACTCTAGTGTATGCAGCGAAATGTAGATTTAGATCAATATTATGCAGCCCAGAAATGGAATCAGAGCTAGAATTAGAATAACTACGAACAGAAATACTTAACAGGAACAATCTCTGCTGAGTTTATACGACTTTTAACCCAGAAAAGGACTAGATCAGTCACTATTCTATTATTTTATCAGAAACTGTAGAGTTTCACTATTTACAAATGGAATTAGATACTTAGCAACCCTGAACAGAACTTAGTTTACATACTTTAGAACGTTAGATGAGTTTTCTTTCCTTTGGTTATTTTGTTTGTATTTCCTTTCAACTCATAAAAGCCCTTTGAAGTACCTTGTTGCTGAAAATGTGCTATATAAATAAAATGACCTTACCGCCTTGTCTCCCTGCTCTCTGCTACGCTACAGCTAGTTAGCATGATAAACAGTTTTCCTGTAGCAGTTACTCGTTTCTCCACCATAAGCAGTATTTCATGAGGATGATAGGCAGCTCTAAGCCCCGCCTCCAGGCTCTGATTGGCTGTTTTTGGTGCATTTCTCAAATAGTGTTTTTTAGTGCCTCCAGTTAATCAATTACTAAACTAGTTCACAATTATTCCATCTGTTAATCGCTACACGCCTAAAATTATTTGAACTTAATTCTTGATGGTTTTATTGGATCTAATGTAAAAATTTTTTTTTCCTCTCAGGTTAAACCAGCAATGATTCTCTGGTCCAGTTTCACTTCATGGCTGGAGAATCTGATCCTCTACCTGCAGGATGAAACAGGTAGAGAATCCCCCCCCACCCCCCCACCGTTGCCCCCCAGCCTCTACATGTCCATCAGTCACACTGAGCATGCTCAGTAAGCTCACGCCCATATATGGAGTGTCTGTGGTGGCAGCGAGTCACGACTCCGTCCTCCTGGTTTAATGAGTGTTTGGATGGATCATCCTCCTCAGGCTGCTGCAGACCCAGAACCGGACCGGACCAGACAGAATCGGACCGGATCGGACAAAACCAGACCGGATCGGACAGAACCGGACCGGACTGGACCAGGCCGGACTGGACAGAACCGGACCTGATCGGACAGAACCAGACCGGATCGGACAGAACCAGACCGGACCGGACAGAACCGGACTGGATCAGACAGAACCGGACCGGGCCGGGACACCTCCTTCACTTCAGGCGCCAGACAAACAGAACACTGCAGGGAGACGACATCCTGTCCTGAAGTGAAAACGCGTCCAGCCGTCCTCAGTGTCTCTGTCCATCTGGTGTCTGTCTGTCCTCATCCGGCAGCCTGGTTCTGGTTCTGGTTCTGGTCCAGAGTCTCGGTCATTTCTGGGTTTGTCTACCAGCAGAAACATTTCCAAACTTTTATCTCCTGAGTTTTTCCGCTTTGTTACATTTTTTCCTGCAGCAGTGAAATTTAACTAAGGATATGAATAAATCCCATTTTAATTTTTCCATTAAAATTCTGGTTCTGGAGATTTTCCTGTTTTCATAGATTTGATGAATTTATATCTAATATTGAAATGTTTAGTTTTAATCATTTCTACTTGTGTTTTTTTCTTTTTTTGCTAACGATGGACCAGAAATTAATCTGCAGCAATGAGGAAATGTTTTGGATTAGAACTGTAACGATTAATCCGATTAATTGGTTAATCGATTATTGAAATAATCATCAACTAGTTTAGTTATTAATTGTTTCCTGGAAAACACAGGAAGCAGAACGCATCCAGAGCATATGAATCAAAACTCTAAACATTTTGCATTTGATCTGTTCAGAGCTCCTGGTTCACATCATCCAGTTATGTAAAAAAGAAAAGAAAAAAAGCTACAAAATCGACGTGTGAAAAGTTGAGCTGAACATCAACACAGTGATTAATAACTGGATAGAAAAATATGATTTATGGAAGATTTTTAAATGAATTTGAACCAGCAGAAGCTAGTTACAAAGTTTTTATTTTTTATCATTAATTTGACATTTTTCTCTTTTTTATCTTACATTTTTAAAATTTTGACTTCATTATTTCTGAGTATTTTTTCAGCTGAATTCACCCGTTAACGATTAATTGATTAATTTCAGTAATCAATTAATCTGATTAATCGTTACAGCCCTAATCCTCATGTTTAAAGTTTACGTCATGATTTTCTCTCCATAAAAACATAAGAATAAAATAATCTGCTTCAGATTTTGTGTTTTTGTTCTGGTTCTGACCTGCTTTGGCTCTGCGGTTCTGCTGCAGAGACGTTTCGGACCTCCTCTCCGCCCTCTGAAGCAGGATTAGCCCAGTCTGAGCCCGGTCAGAACCGGCAGATCAATACTTTAATTAATGCGCTCATTAGACGGCTGTGAATCCATCAGGCCGGATCAGGAGATCGATGCTGTAATTAAAGCTCTCCAGTGAACGCTCACCGACCCGCCGCCGCTCCAGAACCCCGCATTGGGTCAGAACCGCTGCCAGAACCAGAAGAGGGTCCACAGAACGGACCGGTGAGACAGAAAGGGACACATTCTCAGTGATGCTCTGAGGGTCAAAGGTCAAGAGGACCTGAAATGGCGGCTTGGCAGCAGAAGGTTGTGGGTTTGAACCCCTTGCAGGTGGAGTTAGCGTGAAAAATCTACAAGCTGAAGGAAAATCTGGGATCGCCATCAATACTATTATTCTCATTTTGAAAAATTACATTGAAAAATTTGATGGAAGTGGAAAAAATATGAAATATTTCCTCAATTATGCAAAAAAAGTTTTTTCTTCAGCAGTTCTTGGCTGCTGATCATGTGACTCGTGTTTTTATTGCAGTTTTGTGAAATAAATTATTTCCATTTCCAAACCAAAACCAGAAAATTGATCAAAAGCGTTTGTGTGAAATTGGCCAGTTTCCATTAAGCAAATTCATTTTCATAATTTCAATTTAGGCATTTTAAAGTGAATGGAAACGCGACTGGAGACGGACTGCTGCGTCCTGGGTGCCCTGAGCAGCAGCACCACAGATCCTCCCTGATCGCAGCAGGATCAGTAAGTATTCACACCCTGCTGGTATCGAGCAGCTTCTACTGTCACTTAATGTAAATAGTTTGTTGTGTTTTAATGGGTTAGGGGTTAAAGGAGTTGTACGCTCCTTTAACACTGAAATGTTTCTGTACAATATTTCATTCTTTACATATTTTATGTTGCATTTTGGTGGAAGTTTGATTTCATTGTTTATCACTTTGCTGCTGCTGAACCAGAATTTCTTTCTAGTTTCCAGGGAACTTTGGTTTGTCCCTGCTTTGTTCCCATACCGTCGCCATGGTGATAAAAACCTGATCAGATCATCCATGAGTTCCAACATTACGGCGAAACGGTGAGACCTTTTCATTTCTGTCCCGCCGTTCCTGAACGCTTCCCGGGAAAATCAAAGATTTATTCACATTAAACGAGAGAGGTGAAGGAAGAGGAAGATGAGGAGGAGGAAGACGAGGAGGAGGAAGAGGAAGACGAGGAGGAGGAAGATGAGTGGACGCAGGGTGAAGGACAGTTGAACCATAAACTGATCTTTATGGAATCAGTAGAAATGAAAACGGGTTAAAAGCAGAAACATGACAGGTAGAAATGTGTGTGTGTGTGTGTGTGTGATGTCATTACTTGTGCAGGGGGTGGAGGGGCTGTCCAGAGGAGTCCTGAAGTGATCTTCCTCACACACACACACCACCGATCCTTCCTCGTCCGCCACGCTGTTGGCTGGACAAGGAAAACACTCCTGTTGCCGCGACGACATCTTGTAGGATCCAGGCGGACATGCTGGACAGAACACACACTCCGTCAGGAAAACACACACTCCGTCAGGAAACACACCCTCCGTCAGGAAAACACACACTCCGTCAGAAAACACACACTCCGTCAGAAAACACACACTCCGTCAGGAAACACACACTCCGTCAGGAAAACACACACTCCGTCAGGAAATAATGTCTTGTTTACAGTTTGGTAACGATATTGGAAACAGCAAAAATCATTTATGTTAATATGTCTGATTAACATAGCAGCTTAATGAAATACAATTTACCGTAAACTTCTGAGAAACACACAGGTATGACGGATTCATAAGAAATCTGCTGAGTAAGCAGTATGTGACGTAGCATCGATGTGCCATAAGGTTTGCTGGATTTACGGTACGGCAGACAGTCAGAATACCGGGTTAAACATCCTCAGCTTTCCTTCGTCTCTCTGCCAGACGGGGCCAATCGCCGTGCCGATCGCCGTGACGTCGTGCCGATCGCAGTGACGTCGTGCCGATCGCCGTGACGTCGTGCCGATCGCCGTGACGTCGGGCCGATCGCAGTTCAACGCTCCGCCCTCCGCAAAGACCAGAAACAAATCCACTTCCTGGTCCGACCCGTCCTCACAGCGCCACACAATTCAGCTGAAATTTAAAACCCAAATCAGCTCTGTGGTGTGTGTGTGTGTGTGTGTGTGTGCGCGCGCGCTGTCTGGACGTCCTGCGGTAACAAGCTGACCTCCAGCAGGACGGGTGAAAGCGAGAAATCCAGATAAACGGATGTAATTGTCGTCTGGCAGCTTGTGTCAGATTGTGTGAAATTTTCTGGACATTTGAGTCTCCAAATGTTCTGTACTTCCTGCTTCCTGCTTCCTCCGCCAGCTGCCAACGTTTCAGACCGTCATCAGACATTTATACGCAGAATGACAGCAAGAAGCTGCAAATATCTGAACGATGCAAACTCCACAACACACCGACATTAAAACTACAGGAAAACACATTACAAAAACACAAAGTGTGAACCTGGAAAATGGATCCAAGCTTTCTGGATAACACTTACCTAGGTAATGTGACGTCCTCCTGACTCCCCCTAGTGGTCTGGAGGACTCTGTTTTGGGCAACGAGTTTGCAGTGTTTTAAACTTGATGCTGTTTTTTGATTCGATTCTTTTTCCTCTGGTTTCTGCGTTTTCCTTTTTCATTTCTGTGGTGAGTTTTGGAGTTTGCATCATTCATGTCTCTGCAGCATTGAGCCGTTTGAACCTGCGGGCCACCGTAGCGAGAGCGAACCGGGTAAACATGATAATGAATCATAATTTTGAGGGAAGTGTTGCTTCGTTTAGGGGAAACGTTTCGTTTCAGTTTATTGGATCTGAGCTGAAAGGTGAAAGCGTCTTTGAGCCGAACCGTGATGAATCCCAGGAAATGAAGCCGGCCGCTTCCTGCTCCTGCCGCCATGCAGATTTGTGTTGATGGTGGAATAATGAAGCCGGTTCTGTTGCAGCCGGACTGAGCTCCTGCTGGGTTCAGTCCGGCCCGGTTCTGGAGATCTCAGCCCCGCCTCGCGGATCCAGTCAGAAGCTTGTAATTGAGTTTCTAATGTGAGTCATTACACAGGAAGCGCTTCAGAGGCGCACGCGGCCGCGCGTTTGTTCTGCGCTCGGCGCCAGCAGAACCAGCATGAATGGACCCAAATCAAGGCCCGATTATGCAGACATCATAAACGCCGTGTTGGCGGCTGGTTCCGGCCAACTTATCTCCTGCTTTCAGCCGGATTCGCATTTGGGCCGCCACCCGGTCCGACGCGATACGAGCCGCTCCGATAACTAAAGCAGCTGGCGGCGCCACGGCCGCCAGGCGGGGTCATGTCAGTCAGAACCGAGCCACAGCCCACCTGGCACCGCGAGAAGCCCGGCTCTACAGAACCCGTCCAACCGACACCGAAACCGAGAGACAGATCCGCTTCGCTGACTTCCTGCCAGAAACCGAGGGACGTCTGAGACAGCTGGCAGGGAGAGATCCGGTTCTGCCACGGGCTCAGCGGGTCGACCACACACACACACACACACACACACACACACACACACACACACACACACACACACACACACACACACACACACACACACACACTCTGAGTCAGTCCTCTCTGAGTTTCTGTTTCATCACTGGATGAATTCATCTCAGCAGGTGGTCGGTGAGTTAAATCAGCCATAACTGGGGAGGGGTCAAAGGTCATCTCTAGCCTTGGACATCCCAGCAAATTCAGCCAAAGGTCAGAGGTCAGGGCCTGAAGCTCAGAGAAATGGCCAGAAACCCCAGAGCTTCGTTCAGACTCTGCAGGCCTCAGTTAAAGGTCAAAGGTCACAATCATGAGCCTCTCTGAAGGACAAACAGCAGCAGATCTGCATCAGAAGGGTCTGTGGTGGTCTAGTCAAAGTTCTGCCTGGGTCTGGCAGCTGTTAGTCAGAATCAACTCCAGCAGGAAACGACGACATGGTGAAATGTTTGAGATAAAAATATTTCACAATGAGAAAAAAAGACTAAATATGAGAATAAAACATAATTAATACGACAAGAAAGACGAGAGCAGAGTTCAGTAAAAAACTAAAATAATACGAGAGTAAAGTGAATATGATGAGAAAACGGGTGAAATACGACGACGTAGAGATCTACGATGACTCGTACAAAACAAAACCTATCGGCCAATCCCGTCAGGGAACTGAGAGGTCAAAGGTTGTAGAGAATGAAGTCAAATGATGACAGTCATAATGTTACGGTAATAACTTTGTGCAAGTATAAAGTTAAAATAATAAGAGAATAAAGATGTAATAATGACAATAAATTCAAGTTATGAAACATTTAAAAATAGTTATATAACAAAAGTCTAAATAATACAAGAATAAAGTCGTAACATTATGAGAAAAAAGTTAAAATATAAAGAACAGAACCAAAAAGATGAAATATTACGAGATGAAGACGGAGTAATATGAGAATAAACTCATTTTATGACAAAGTTGTACGACATTAATATGATAATAAAGTCAATATTTCCAGAAACACGAGAACAAAATATAAATAATTTGTGAATAAATTCCAAATAATACGACAAAAAGTTAGGAATCATAAACTGAGCTGGTCAGCTTGAAACTTTCTCATCTTTAGGACATTTTTATGACTTTGTTCTGCTCATAACTTTAATTTTTTGATCTTTCGTTCCATGAAGGAAATCTTTTCCTGCAACATTTTCTGGACGTCTGAACCAGAGTCAGGAAACGGTTTTCAGTCCGACCAGATAAATGAAAATTAAAAATTCATGACTCTGCAGTTTCATCAGGCAACAAATAAAAAGTAAAACGTCAAAGAATCTGAATTTCATTAACTTTACAAACGACTTTGTGAGTTTTGCCTCTGAAGGAGGAATCAATCCAACGGCGTCGCTAATGAATATTAATAACCCGAAACAGCTGAGCAACCGACTCCCACGGCAGAACCTCCTGCTGTACTGCGGGTCAGAACCGGGTCAGAACCAGACCCGCTTCAGGGAGCAGCTTCAGCTGCTGGAAATCAATAACCAATAAAGCTTCAGCTTGGTTCTGCAGCTTCAGTGTCCATCAGAAGAGTCCGGAGCGGTTCCGGACTCAGAACCGCCGATTGGGTCATTGATCCTGCTGGATCCGGACCGGTCCGACTCCGGCTCTGCTGCAAACGGTTTGAACCTGAAACGTTTTCATCTGAGCAGAAGACAGAAACGCTGCAGGTCCAACCGGTCCGACACCAGCGCCTCCAGAACTCATCTCATTTTTCTTGCTCAAATTACAAATGAAAACAAATATTTTCATGAAGTGGATTTTATTTCACCCTGTATTGAGACCAGAAGTTTAATTATGAGAATAAAGTCAAAATATTAGCAGAATAACAAAACAATTTTACTGGAAAACTTAAAAATACGAAGGAAAATTAAATTTATTGAGAAAAAAACGCTTCGCTACCAGGATGTGATGTCAGCAGCTCAGGCTTTCTTCAAAAACTCAAAAAGATGCTGAACCGTTAAAAGGTAAAACATTTCCTTATCTGTAAAACCGAGACCAGAGGAGAACGTCTGACTGGATAGTTAGCTAGCTCAGAGCTAAATGTTCAGATTGGAGCTACGTAGCTAGCTTGCTTACTAAATATTACGTTTGAAACTGACATTTAGAAATGAATGAATAACGGTGAAAATATAACTTAAAAAATCAATCCCCATTTTTTCCCCTCATGACAAACTAAATAACCTAAATTATTGTTGTTAAATTTTTATTTGTGTGATTTTACAACATGTGATGCAACAACAAAGCTTGTGTGTGACATGCAGTTAAACCAGATGAAATCTCTCAGCTGGTGAGCCGCTGAGTCTCCAGCACTCAGGCAGATCATGCTAGCAATGTTTGATTCTCATCAGCCTGACTGGAACCAGGCCTGACTATGGGATGTCTTCAGAATCACAGTTATCCAATAAGAGTCGGGATATCACAGCGCGGCGACACAGACCACATAAAACCAGGAGAGGAGCAGACGGACGCCAGCAGGATGACACACACACACACACACACACACACACACACACACACACACACACACACACACACGGCAGCAGCCGTCTGGTGCTTTCAGGAAACATGGCTACCTCTCAGCATCTGATCTGAAACATCTCCAGACGGTTTTCTTCCTCGGTTCTGTTTGCTCCATCATGTCTCTGTTTGGACCACCAGTTCTCTCAGAACATGAGAACCAACCTGATGAAGGTCCAATCATCATCTCCTCTCCTCTCACACAGAAAGGTTCTGTTTGTTTGGACTTCTTAATGAAGGAAGTGACAAGCAGACACATTTCTGCGGAAGTCGGATTTATTCCTGAAGATAAAAATTAATCCCAATCCTGCTGCAGTTTAACTTCACCAGCCAAACCGAAACCCGATCAGAGCCAAGAAACAGAACCTGCCTGGCAGCAGGAAGTAGGATGAAAGGTCTGAATCAGCAGCACAT